AGGACGATGAGCCCGTCAAGAAGCGGGGCCGCAAGGCCCGGGGCCGGGGGCCGCCCTCCTCCTCCGACTCGGAGCCCGAAGCAGACCTGGAGAGAGAGGTGTGTGCTTAGGAGGCCGCCGTGCCATGCTCCAGCCTGTGCCCAGCCCTCTCTCGGCCCATGTGGCTTTGGTCAGCGGTCCCTTTGCTCCATACATTTGCTGGACACCTGCTGGGTACTCGGTTCCGTTCTGGGTGCTGGGGGCACAGCAACGAGTGAGCGAGCCCAGCCCAGCCCTACAGCAGCTGGCCTTGCGGGGCCGGAGGCGACCACACAGGATGTTGCACAGGGTGAGCTCGGCCAGCTGGATTTACTTCAGTGCTGGGCTGTACCCAGGACCTTGCGTGTGCTGGTCAAGCCTTCACGCTGAGTCACTCCCTCTGCACCTCTTCTGGTTTCAATAGGGTGGATCCTAAAGACTTCACTTGACACCATAATATCTAAGTGAGGGGAATCTGGGGAAGCAGTCAGGCTGGAGCGCCGCCCATGCAAAGGCCCTGGGGCAGGACAGCACAGCACAGTGCAGGAGCAGGGAGGAGCCTGGGTAGCTGGAGCAGAGGGAGGAGTGGGGGAGGCAGGCAAGAGGGGAAAGGATGGGGTGGTCATGCAGAGTCCTGTGGGCTGCAGGAGGACTTGGGTTTTGGCTCCAGGGAGGTAGGAGCCATGGAGGGTTGAGGGCAGAGAGAGACGCGGACTTGGGGCTCATGGCACCTTCTGTTACTCTGGGGGAACCAATTATGGGTGAGATGGGAATAGTTTCAGCTTCCGAGGCGTGGTGGTAACCGTGAGGCCTGCTTCGTACATTTGCATGCTGTGGGCCTAGTCGGATTCCCCAGCCTCCTCGCTGTGGCAGTCTGGCCTGATCAGAGTCTGACATTGTAGGTGCCTGGGTGTCCCTGTCCAGGTCTGCCTTCTTTGCAAGGAGCAGAGGGAGGACCACCTCTCCGTATTACCCATGTTTCTCAAAGGGGAGGGTCCTGGCGAACGAGTTCCTGTCGCACCAGAGTGTGACACTCCTAGCAGGGGTGCAGCGTCTCCCTCCGTGAGTGGAGCCCTCTGAGGTCCCCAGGGCTCTGAGAAGGGCTTCCAGGCCCTCCGCCCTTCCCGGCTTCCATCCTCCCCACAAGAGAAGGCAGCACAGAGTCAGGCTTGGCCTCCACGCGGGTCTGCATCAAGGCCCTGCCGCCGCTCAGACCCCCTTTGCTCCGGCTGCCGCAGGGGAAGAAATCCACCAAGAAGTTCCAAGCACAGAGCACAGAGCCCACTCGGAAGCCGAGCCAGAAGGAGAAGAGAGGGCGGCCTGAGGAGAAGCACCGGGCCAGGTCAGCAAGTGCCTCCCCCTCCCAGGCCTTGTGCTCAGCACCCTGGGGCAACCTGCGCCTTGGGAGAGCCCTGGCTTCTGGGCTTAATCAGGAGCCTCAGCCGCTCGAGCTTTCCTGTTCTTGGGGTCCATCAGGCTGGGGAGGAGCCACTGTCCCAGCATTGTGGTTCTAGGCCAGGGATCTCGGGGGGTGATCATGCCCTCGGCACACTGGGTAGTGTCTGCAGAAATTACTGGCTGTTGGGATGGGGGAGCCCCTGGCGTGGAGCAGGGGGAGGCCAGGGACACTGCAGCCCAGCCCTTGTAGTCCCCAGGACACCCCAGAGGGTGACCCTCCGCCCCAGTGTCCGCAGTGCCAATGGGGAGGTCCTGCCCTCGCACCGTAGCTCTGTTTCCGAGCCCCACTGTGGTGTGGAGTGAGCCACGTTCCCTGCCCACTTCTCCAAGGGAGTCCAGCTGTGGCAGAGAGAGATGCCTGGAGCCTGGCCCCTCGGCGTGGTGGCCCTGCGGTGCGGGGCTCTGTGGGGTCCCTGTGGCACTGGAGAGTACGGAACGCCAGTGCTTTTTATTAACTTGTTTGCCAGGTTTCGTACAGCTGACTCTCCACCACTAGTGTGAAAAAGAATTTTAGGATTTTTTTTTTTCTCCGTACTGGGAATGGAACCTAAGGTTTTTGCACTGACTTCATCCCCAGCCAGCCTTTATTTTGAGACAAGGTCTCACTAAATCATTAAGTTGCTCAGCTTAGGCTCAGAGTTGATCCTCCTGCCTCAGCCTCCAAGAGTGCTAGGATAACAGGCTGCACAAGAATTCTCGGCTCTTCTGTAGTTTGTTCATAGAACCAAGGGAGGGCTTGTGTGTCTGGTCGGTGGCTCACAAACCTAGGCCATGCCAAAGCCTTGACACGCCTTCGCCCAGCTCCCAGGGCCTCCCGAAGGCTTCTGCAGGGGTGCCGCTCTACCCTAGCCCTGGTTCCTGGTGAGGAAAGCAGCAGGGCTGGGCCAGGTGGCTTCAGGGACAGGCTGGCCGGGCCTGTCTGAGGCAGCGCTTCTCCACAGGCCCGTGAAGGTCGAGCGGACCCGGAAGCGGTCAGAAGGGCTCCCGCTGGACAGGAAGGCGGAGAAGAAGAAAGGTAAGTGCTGGCCGCAGAGGCCGCTGTGGGAGGAGGCCGGGCTGGTCAGGGCACAGTCCCTGGTCAGGTCCCTGGCCTGGTGCCCAGCGGCCCTGAGGCACACCCTGGAGTATGTGCAGGATAGGGGTGGAGCTGCCCCCTCGGGGGTCTGCAGCTGCTGCCCTACGTGGCCGCCTGTGGCCTGGGCCTGCAGTCCCTGCTCAAGCCTTTTGGTGTCTCCTGGCCTAGAACCTTCCGTGGAGGAGAAGCTGCAGAAGCTGCACAGTGAGGTCAAGTTCGCCTTGAAGGTTGACAACCCGGTAAGAAGCTCCTAGAGCCTTAGGGCACAGCCCACCCACGGCCTCCGGAGCTGAGTGGTCCTGCCACCACCTCGCTTCCAGGGCTCCTGGGAAGTCTTGGGAGGCTGAGACACATCTGGGGTCCCACAGGGCAGGTGGTTGTTGATTGGGTGAGGGCCTGGGGTGAGCCTGGCTTCTTCAGCAGGAGCCTTACCAGGCCCAGGGACCCCACCCAGTGTCTGGGTCCACACCAGTAAGGTCAGCAGAGGCAGCAGACAGAGATGGGTCCCTGCTGAGGGCTTGGATGTCTACTGCCCTCCGGGCCCTCCAGGTGCCCTCACCCATGCTGCCCGTCCTCTCTTGCGCCCCTCTGTAGGACGTGAAGAGGTGTCTGAATGCCCTGGAGGAGCTGGGGACGCTGCAGGTGACCTCTCAAATCCTTCAGAAGAACACAGATGTGGTGGCCACGTTGAAGAAGGTACAGCAGGGATAGGAGGTGGCAAGTGGCGGGGCCCATTGTGTGGTGGTGGGGGCCGGAGGGAGGGTCCTAGTGGGGAGGCCAGCTGCCCTCAGTGAGCCCAGCCATTCCCGCCAGATTCGCCGCTACAAAGCCAACAAGGAGGTGATGGAGAAGGCAGCAGAAGTCTATACCCGGCTCAAGTCGCGTGTCCTGGGGCCCAAGATTGAGGCGATCCAGAAGGCAAACAAAACCGGAACAGAGAAGGAGAAGGCGGAGGTGGAAAAGGCTGAGGAGAAGCTGGCAAGGGAAGAGACCACCAAGGAGAAGGCGGAGGACGTGCCCAGCCCGGGTGTGGGTGGGTGGCAGTCCGATCTCCATGTGTCCAGCCGGAGGGGCGGTGGGTGCTTTGCACAGCATCCTAGGGACCTGGGGACCACAGCTCTGCTCTCCACCACGCACTGACCGGTGCGGTGTGTTCTGGGGGTCTCTGCAGACCTGGGCATCACAGGGAAGCTGCTCTGCCGAGCACCAGGCAATCGTGCTGTAGCGGCCTTGAGCCCTGATGGTGCCACCCATGAGCCAAATGCATGCACCTGTGCCTCGTGGAGGCCCTGGAGCAGCGCTTGGGGCTGGTGGAGAACCCAGCCGTGGCCAGCACAGCCTCCTAGCGGGGTTCGGGGCAAGCCCAGCCCCATTCACGAGCGCTGAGGAGAGTTGAGGGCCCATAGCCGGGTCACTAGGTATGAAGGGGCTCCCAAGCCAGGCCCAGGCGTGTACCATGAGTCCTCTGCACCCTAGATCTCTCTGCCCCTGTGAACGGCGAGGCCATGTCGCAGAAGGAGGAGAGCGCGGAAGACAAGGAGCAGGAGGACGGGCAGGACTCGGAGGAGGGCCTGCGGCGCAGCTCCTCGGAAGACCTGCACGAGTGAGTGTCTGTGGGGCGGCCAGCAGCACGGCTTGCTGTCCGTGCGGCTCCTTACACTTGGTCCCCTAGGAAGGGGCTTGGCTTGGCCTTCCCCTCCCAGGGTCCCCTCTCCCCACCCCCACCTTTGTTCAAGGGCCGGATCTTTGGGATGTCTGGACTGGGCCTCCCAGACAGGTGGCTGCTTGCCCATGACCCTCCAGGAGTGCCCTGTCAGGCGCCATTCACCAGCATCAGCCACCTGGCCCTTCTAGCCAGTGCCAAGGGCCACAGGCTGTGCCCCATTGGCCAGGTTCAAGGCTCATTTGATTGATTGATTGATTGATTGATTGTACCTGGAATCAAGCTCAGGCGCTTGCCCTTGCCAGGCAGGCGCTGTGCCGAGGAGGTACATCCCCAGCTTAAGGCTCATTTAAACGGCAGCCGCTTTGCACCAGGCCTGACAGCCTCTGTGCGTAGGGCTGGGGACACGGGAGCTCTGTGCGCGGAGCACTTGCCACGTCCAGGGGTCAGAGAGACAGGAAGGCAATGTCTGGGCTCGACCCCCACCCCGCCCAAGTACTCATCCCACCCGTGCCCCCGCAGCCTGCAGGAGGGCCCCGACCTCGACGGGCCTGGGAGCGAGCGGCAGGAGCGCGAGAGGGTGCGGCTGGACTCGGAGTCCCTGGATGAGGAGAGCTGAGCTGCCGGCTGGGCAAGGCGCGCTGTCATCCATGGGCCTCTGCTCCTCCCGGCCCCATCAGGCAGGGAACATTTGGGGGAAACGCTGTGCTGTTTGTTTGTATTTGTCCTTGGGTTTTTTCTGCCTAATTTCTGTGATTTCTGACAGACATGAAATGACTATAAAGGTTTTTTTAATGAAAAAAGATCACCTTTATTGGCTTGGTTTCCTAGGGTTGCTGGACCAGTTGGGGGCAGAGGCAGAGAGCAGTTTGCAGCTGTCAAAGGGCCTGTGTGGGGCAGAGGTCACCCTGTGGGCCTCCGTGAGCAGCGTGGCAGTGGACAGTGGGCCAGAGCAGGGCCTTGCCGGGAACCTTGAGTTGGGCACTCACTGCTGTGGGCTGGGCCGCCGGGACCAGGGCAGGCTGGGCAGCATCAGAGATGGCTAAGGAGGGCAGAGCCGGCTGTGTGCTGGGAAGTCGGCAGTCTAGATCTTTGCTCACTCACCCACGTCACTGCCCCACCGAGGCCAGAGGTGGCTCTGGGCCCCAGGAAGACCAAGTCCTGGGTGCCAGCTCTGGGCACTCAGGACCAGAGGGCTGCTGTGGGTTGTCCATCGTGAGGGACCAAGCTCCTCCCAGCTCTGTCACCAGCTTGTTGTGTGGCCTTGGGCACTGGACCCTCCCTCTCTGGGCCCCTCTGTCCTCCCTGGTGTGAGGTGACCAGGCACAGTGACCTGGCACAGTGTGGGTTCGGGTTGGGTGCGCGTGGCTTATAGCAGAGGACGTTCTCCCTCAGCAGTGCCATCCAGCCTCGTCCCTGCGGCGGGCAGGCAGTCTCCTTGCCCAGCAGGAGGTGGGTGTGCAGGGGACGGATTTCCTGAGCCTTGGTCCCTGCGTGGTTTTGACGGACAGGAGCTCGAGGTGCTGGGCCTGGCTTCTGTAAACGGCTGTGTCTGTGGTGTCACAGCCCCAGTGACCCTGAGGCAGACTGAAGAGGGCTGCCTTCTCAGGCCCCTCTAGTCCCAGCTTCACACCCCACTGCCTGTCTCTCAGCATCCCCTGAGGACCTGGGGGCTGAGGCTGGGCAAGACTGGGCCTCAGTCACTGCCATCCCAGGCCCTCACCTAGACCGGTCCAAGAAACACCATTAGGGGGTGCCGTGGGTGCGGCAGTAGAAGGGCTCCCTATGGGTAAAAGGGGCCCTTTCAGACCGGCCGCGTGTCTGCTTCTCTCGGATTGGGTGCTCAGTCAGAGGCCGCAGTGCTTGGTCAGGGCCGCCTGGAGAAGGGATGGGAGGTGCAGGCAAGCCTGGCCGGTGCCCGGTGCTGGGACTCAGACACTGTGTCCCCTCTGGCCCTTGGGGTCTGGCCAGCTCCAGCCCGCAGGGCCAAGACCTTCAGGCACTGGATCTGGGTTTAGAGAAGGTGCTGAAGAGGGCCCCGCTGGGCAGGTGGGGAGATGCCTACACTTGCTGAGTGCTGGGGGGCAAGGCAAAGGGCCCCACCAGCCAGCCCAGCGGAGGGCTGTGCTGCAGGCCGTCCAGCAGCTGGTCCAGCCCTTGCCACGCCTGGCCCACGCCCTCTCGGCTCTGCACCAGGCGCTCAGCTGGCAGCTCCTCACTGGGGCCTGTGGAAGACACGATGCTGTAGAGATCGCAGAGGCTGTGCCGCGCCCGGCCCACCTGCCGCTGGTGCTCAGGCAGCCCCTGCAGGCCGGAGGCCAGACCGCTGTAGGCTGTGTGCAGCTGCCGGATGAGCGCGCAGACCCTGGCCAGCACCTGCAGGATCAAGAAGCCAAGAAGCATGGAGGTGAGGGTGGGGCTCGAGGTGCCTCAGGTACCTGCCTGCCCGCCAGGAGGGCAGGGGCGGGGCTTGCCTTGCCACACCCACCTCTGGGGTCCTGGTGTCCTCCACTGGGGGGTTTAGGCCCTGGTCCAGGCACAGCTGCCCTCCTGGAGCCTGTGCGGCTTTTTCAATCTGGTGAGAGAGCAAAGCGGGAGATGAGGGCCTCCTGGCCGGGGCCTGGGGATATTGAGCGGCTGGCCCCAGGGCTGCGCGTCCAGACCTTCCCCAGGCCGGTCCCAGCACTCAGCTTCCCTCCTGTCCCTGTTCTGCCCTCAGGCCACACATCCGGGGCACCACGGGCTTTCTGTCTTCCTGTGAAGAACCTGTCTGCAGACCTAGGTGGCTTTGCTGTTGAAACCCACCTTCAGCGTCTCACCACCCTGGGCTGCTAGGCTGCTCTTTCGGCCCTTCGCCACTGCCCTGATCTGTGTAGAAGGCTCCTCATGCGTCTCAGCTCCTGCTTTCGACCCATGTGGCCTGATCTTAAATAACACCCGTCAGATCGGGCCGTCCCTCTGCCCGCAACCTCCAGGGCTCCCACTTCCCTGGCGCCAGAGCCCAAGTCCTCCTCCAGCCCTGCAAGGCCACCCTATCCCCTGCCCATTCCCTTCCCCTCTGTGCCCCTCATGCCCTCTGCTCCAGCCACACAACCAGGCTCCAAGCTGCCCCAGGGCCTTTGCATGGTTGTGCCCTCCACCTGGAATGCTGTTCCCTTCGACCTTGCCTTGAGTGTCCCCTTCCACAGTGAGCACCCCGGTGCGGCCACTGCCTTGTCCTTGGTCATCTTCATGTTGCCAGGCATTGTCCAGGTTGCCATATACTTGGCACCTGCCCACATCCCTCAAGCAGCCCCTTTAGGTGGAGACATGGGTTTTATTCTCGGGTCCCCCACATTCACTATTCACTACTGAATGAATGATGTTTGATTGGGTTTCCACTCACAGCATTCTTCTTTTGTTTGTTTATTTGTCTTTTTGAGACAGGGTCTCATTCTGCAGTTCAGGCTGTCCTTGAGCTCACATTGTAGCCCAGGCCATTGAACTCACAATGATCCTCCTGCTTCAGCCTCCCAAGTGCTGGGGTTACAGGCGTGCGCCACCACACCCAGCCCCAGCATTCTTTGTGTGCCCCTGAGCAGATCTCTTTCACTGGCTGCTCTTGGCCTCAGTTTCCCCTCTGAGGCTGCCAGTGGTGACTTCTTGCCCAGTCTGCTCTGCCCTGAGGACCCGAAGGCAGAAAGATGCTTTCTGAGTAGCTGTTTGCGACAGGTTGCCGGCCGCAGCCTGTGCGTGCATTTCTTGGCGGGCTTTTGCTGAGGGCCTCCCTGGGAGGCGAGAGGGCCTCAGGACTGTGGGGGGCTGGGTGGAGGCTGGGGTGCTACTCAGCACTCCGCAGTGCCTGGGGTGTCCTGTCGCAGAGAATGAACTGACCTGTGGCCACAGCACCTGAGGGAGGTGCTGGGCCAGAGGAGGGTGTGGACGCCTGGCCCCTTAATGCTGTTGTCACCCTCCACGGTATCCAGCCTGGGTTCCCCCAGCCACACCTCGGCTTCTCCCAGTCACCGCGGTACTCTGTGCTGGCAGCGCACCCAGCCTGTTCTGGGGGTGTACTGTCCCTTCCTCCTGGGTGTTGCCTGGCTGTCTCCAGAGTCTCTGCCCTGTCTGCCCTGCACACAGCTGGTTCCCCAACAGGGCGCTCGGGCGCCATACACAGTCATGAGTGCGCGTGCGTTCCTCAGGGAAGGTTGGGGAAGGGGCCGCTCACCGCGCGGAAGGAGTCCTGGAGCTGGGCCACAGCGTCCCTGGCTTGGAACTGGTGGTGCTGCACGTGGCTCAGGGCATGTTCGAAAGCCCGCTGGCGCAAGCTGGGGGCCAGGTCACCAAGACGGACAAAGTAGCTCCCCTGGTCCACGGAGAGTACCTTGGGCCCTGGCTCGGAGGCTGCCAGCTGGGCTGGGAAAAAAGGCAAGTGGCTGAGCCAGGGAGTTTGCCTCCGGTCTCACCGAAGCCCAGCACCCATCTGGAGCCGAGCCCACCCCGGGGACCCACCACCAGCAGGGTGCTTGTCCCTGGCGTGTGCTCACCTTGTTCCTCAGTGCTCATGGGCTGGAAGATTTCCAACCCCTCTAGCTCGTCCCGGAGCATCGTGAAGCTGGTGGCTCTTTGCTGGCTGCCTGGGGTGGCGCCGTGAGTGACCAAGGCCACGTCAGACACTAGGCTCCTGGTGGCAGCTGCGGCTTCCCCAGCAGACTGTAGGCTTGCACCGAGCGGGTCTGAGAAGCTGGAGGCCCCAGAGGACAGGGCTTCTTGGGGGCTCAAGGCAGTGTGTTCCGCACCTTTGTCTGAGGCCTGACAACTGGTAGGCCCGCCCCAGTTGGTGTCTTGGCTACCAGGGAGCCACGCCCGGGCAGTGCTGAGAGTGGCGGGGGTGGTGCCTGCGGCCATGTTCCCTGCCGCAGCCAGCCCAGCAGAGGCTGCATCTTTGATGCTGGCCAGCACAGTCTTGGTGTTGTCCAGGCTACCCTGGGCGGCCTGTTTGGCCACGTTCGTGGCCCCCATGAGCCCAGTGGACACTGCATCCGTGGTGCCCATGACCGCAGACGTGGTGGTGTCCAGGCCCCCCTGGACAGCGCCTTTGGCCACGTTCACGGCTCCGGTCACCCCACTACAGACGGTGTCCTTGGTGCCGGTCAGCACGGTCTTGGTGGTGTCCACGCCAGTTTGGATGGTTCCTTTGGCCACGTTTGCTGCCCCTGTGAGTCCAGTCGACACGGCATCTTTGGTGCCGGTCAGCACGGTCTTGGTGGTGTCCAGGCCAACCTGCACTGTGCCTTTGGCCACGTTCGCTGCTCCTGTGAGCCCGGTGGTCAGTGTGTCCTTGGTGCCCATGAGAACAGACTTGGTGGTGTCCAGGCCCCCTTGGACAGCACCTTTGGCCACGTTCACTGCCCCCATGACCCCAGTGGACACTGTATTTTTGGTGCCCGTGAGAACAGCTTTTGACGTGTCCAGGCTGCCCTGCACGGCCCCCTTGGCCACATTCACAGCACCGGTCACCCCGCTACAGACGGTGTCCTTGGTGCCGGTCAGCACGGTCTTGGTGGTGTCCAGGCCGGCCTGCACTGTGCCTTTGGCCACGTTTGCTGCTCCTGTGAGCCCGGTGGACACCGTGCTTTTGGTGCCCGTGAGAACAGCTTTTGACGTGTCCAGGCCGCCCTGGACGGCTCCCTTGGCCACATTCACAGCACCGGTCACCCCGCTACAGACGGTGTTCTTGGTGCCAGTCAGCACGGTCTTGGTGGTGTCCGCACCAGTCTGGACGGTTCCCTTGGCCACGTTCACTGCCCCTGTGAGCCCGGTGGTCAGTGTGTCCTTGGTGCCCATGACCACAGACTTGGTGGTGTCCAGGCCCCCTTGGACAGCACCTTTGGCCACGTTCACTGCTCCAGTCAGCCCAGTACAGACGGTGTCCTTGGTGCCAGTTAACACGTTCCTGGTGGTGTCCACGCCCGTCTGCACTGTCCCCTTGGCCAGGTTCACTGCACCCATAACCCCAGTGGACACAGTGTCCTTGGTGCTGGTCAGCATGGTCTTGGTGGTGTCCAGGCCGGTCTGGACAGTACCTTTGGCCAAGTTCACTGCCCCAGTGACCCCAGTGGACACTGCATCTTTTGTTCCGGTCAGCACCGTCTTGGTGGCGTCCACACCAGTCTGGACGGCTCCCTTGGCCACGTTCACTGCCCCCATGAGCCCAGTGGTCACTGTGTCCTTGGTGCCAGTGACAACAGCCTTTGAGGTATCCAGACCCCCTTGCACGACCCCTTTGGCCATACCCACCGCCCCCATGACCCCTCCAGCCACCACGTCCTTGCTGCCCGTGAGGGCTGATCGTGTGGTGTCCAGGCTGCCCTGGACCACCCCCTTTGCTGCATCCATCATGTTGGCCACCCCAGAGGAGATGGCATCCTTGGTCCTGGGCATCTGCTGAGAGAGGACACAGGGTATCAACAGCATGGAGAGGCCTTCCAGCCCACTTCCGCCATCCCTGCTCCGTAATGGGCCTGGGGAGGCCCTGTTCCCTGAGCCCTGGCTGCCTCCTGCTCCCTACCCCCTGCCCAGCACCCGCCTGGGCCTTCTGAGGTGCTCATCGCACTGGGTCAAAATGATTCCTTTCCAACCTGCTTGCACGCCCCCGATTACAGAGACCCCGTTTTAGACACCAGGCCCCTGATACCGCCGAGCCCGGGCTGCGGCCAAGTTCCAGAATTACGTGTTCTGTCCATCTGGCCTATTCTCTATGGCAGATTTTGAACCTAGTCATCCAGCAACAGAGAAACCAAGTTGCTAACTAAAATCTACATTAGCCAGGTGAGGCAGGAGGATTGCATGTTCAAACCCAGCCTGGACAACTTAGTGACTTAGCGAGACCCTATCTTAAAATTTAAAGAAATAAAAAGAGGTGGGGATGTAGCTCAGTGGTGAGCACTTGCCTGGCATGCACAAGGCTCTGGGTTCCATCCCTAGTATCCATAAATAAATTCAAGCAGAAGAAGATAATCAAGGTTTAGAAAAGTAACCAAAATGCCTGGGGATATATCTTAGTAGTGCAAGCGCCTGCCTGGCAAGCATGAGGTCGTGGGGCAGGTAGATGCCGGTGACACCTGGCCCTGGCACCATGGGGTACCTGGTACAAAAAAAAAAAAAGTAACCAGAAATGCTGAGCATGGTGGCACATGCCTGTAACCCCAGCACTGAGGAGGCTGAGGCAGGAGGATCATTGTGAGTTCGAGACCAGCCTGGGCTACAAAGTGAGCTCAAGGCAGCCTGAACTGCGTAGCGACACCCTGTCTCAAAAAGAGCAAAAAAAAAAAAAAAAAAGAAAAAGAAAGAAAGAAAAGTAACCAGAGAAGTAAGGGGTGGGTTTGAGTTGCTTCTTGCGTAGCTCTTTTGGCCTCCCATGGGCAGATTTGTGCTGGGTCACACATGAACTAAGGAAGTGACTGTTTGCAGTTACTGCCTCTCAGAGGTAGCCACGAATGTGCTGTTTTGAATTTAGGAGGCCTCATCTGGGGTGATTCTCCCCCCACACACCAGGGGACATCAAGTCTCATCAGAGGACATTTATGACTGGGGTGCTCATGGTGTGGGGCAGGTAGATGCCGGTGACACTGCTAAGCGCATTCAGGGCTCACCGCCCAACCAGAGAAGGTTTGGGCCACATTTCCATAGCACTAAAGTTGAGACACTTACACAGTTTTCAACACCTGGCCCTGGCACCATGGGGTCTGGAACAACCCAGGTTGAAATCATAGATCTTTCCCAAAATTGCTGTGTGACCTCAGACAAGCTTCGGTCCCTCTCTGAACTTAAAAGTGAGGTGTTTTTGAGACAGGGTCTCACTACGCAGCCCAGGCTGGCCTCAAGCCTGCAGTGATCCTCCTGCCTCAGCCTCCTGTGTTGGGGTCACAGGTGAGCACCACCACACCCTGCCAGAAAAGTAAGATTTAAAATGGTCCCTCCCCGAAGGATGGTGAGGAAATGGGGAGAAGCGCCTGACACTGCACACACAGCAGGTGCTCGGTGCTCAGGGGCGGGGTGTGGCCTCAGCTGCCAGGGTGCGTGTTGCTTTGGGCCGGGACACCCTGCAGAGGTGAAGCAGGATCGCAGACCCCGCCCAGACAGGCTGCTGTGTGGCTTCAGCAATGGCTCTGCTTCTCCGTGCTGCTATTGTGCTCACAGGGCAGGTGGGAGGCCTGGCCCCTGAGGAACCCAGAGCCACCATGTTGGTGACATGGAACCCATTGCACAGATGTGGAAACAGAGACCTGGAGGGCAGGAACTTCGCAGGACATGCAGGGAGGTCTGCCTTCTGCTTGTCCTATGTCCCGCCCCCCTCAGATGGGAGGGACATCCGGGGCTTTCATGCCAGGCTCAGCTCACCTTTTCTGAAGGCTGTGGCAGCTTCTCTGTGCCCCTGGCCATCGCTTCCAGGTCGGTGGCCGCTGCAGGGACAGAGGCTAGTCAGAGGGGGTGAGTGGCACAGCTGCTCTAATGCCTGTTTTGCAATTGCCGGGCACAGCCCAAAAGGTCAGGAATGTGCCAGCCATCCTGCCAGGGACAGCAGGGGGTGACATCTACAGCCGTGAGCCAGACGCAGTCACCTGTGCAGCCAGGGCATCCCAGACCCCTGGGACTGCAGTGTCCTGGAGTGGAGCTCTGTGGGGTTTCACTGCGGGGTCCTGGATGCCTACCCAAGGATCAGAGCCCACGGAGTCTGGGGCGGGCAAGAATGGGCCCGTCCCGCCCCTGCCACAACTGCCAGCAGCCTGTTGGCCAATGCATTTGGGGCAGAAGTCAGCTGCTCAGGGCACCGGGCCCAGAATGCAGTCCAGCCCTGGTGGCTGCCCACCCTTGGGTTCCCCAGGGCTGCCACCACATCACAGGAAGCTGGGTGATTGCAGGGAAGCCGCTGCCCCTCTGGGAGCCAGGACCACCACGGGCTCAGATACACGAAGTTCCCAGGCTGGTCTGTGGTGCACCGGAAACGTGGGGTGTGGCAGGCAGAGGGAGGCTTTGCAGGGAGACTGGCTGGGTTCTGATCCCCTGCTGTGCCTGGCTTTGCCTCCTGGTGACTTGCTCCCCATAGTCATGCCTCAGTTTCTCTGTTCTGTTCTAGATGAGCGTGAGAGACTTGTGTCCAGAGAGATGATGCAGGTGCGTCCATAGCATCCCCGAATAGCCAGAGGTTGCCCCCAGGGGTATTCTGTGCCAGGAGTGGGGTGTCCCGTAGAGTCTCACCTGCATATTGGTGTCACTCACCTTGAGCCCCGGGGCCAGGGGAACCTTCGGGGTTGGCAGCTGGCCTGGCCTCTTTTGTGGCACTGTGGGCACCAGACACCAGGTTCCGGGCGGAGCTGAAGCCAGGCAGGGAGGCAAAAAAGCTGCCCAGGGTCTGTGGGTGGCGGTGGGGACAGCGTGAGCCTGGTCTCGGCAAGCGGGAGCCCTGGGGTCTGTCCCACCTCAGCCCTCGCTCCTGGGCGACCTTGGGAGCATCTGCGCCACTGTGTCTGGCTGTTCCCTCCTGGCCCACAGTGGGCAAAGAAGACCGTTTCCTTCCTGGCCCCATCACACAGATGGGGAAACTGAGGCTCAGAGACAGGGTCACCCTTCAGAGAAGGCTCTGGGGGCTGCGTGGCAGCCTCCACACCCTGGCCCAGAACAGGGGGAGAGCTGGCTCCCACCCCATCTGGGAAGACCTTCAGGACCCCAGGACTGCAGTCATTCCCAGGGTCTGGGGTTCTCAGGGGAACTCTGGGGTTCCCCAGCAGTGACCTCCCCTCTCTTTACCTTGCCCTTGGGTTTGGCAGGGTCCCGGCCCCCTTGCTCTGAAGCAGACATGGCAGCAGTGTGAGTAGCTGGAAGGGGCAGAGAAGGGGCGTGAGTCAGGGTCTCCCTTCCCACCCCACACCCATGTGGCCCTGGCTGGCCAGGCCGCCCGACACCTACCTGGGCCTGGCGTTGCTGAGCCCTGCTTGAGGGGCTCGCCGGGCGCCCTCGGAGAGAGAGGGCGACGCTGCAGCTGTCAGCTGGCTCTGCCCGCGCTCCCAGGCCTTATAGGGTCCGGGCGGTGTGCGCGGCCGGTGGAGGCAGGCAGCCAAGCAGCCAGCGGCCCGGGGGGGGAGGGGGGGGCTGGCATCACGTGGCCTGCCCCGCGTGGGCCCAGTCCCAGCACCTTTCCTCTCCTCTCTGCCCTGGGTCCGCGGACCCGCCCGCCGCAGGCAGAGTGACTCAGGCTCAACAGACTCCCTCTGGGGGCCTCAGCCTCCTCCCTGGGATGGGCACAGTTCAAATCCCTGTCCCAGCGCAATGGTGTCAGATTGCATCCTTGTACCTCAGTTTCCCCATCCACATCCTCACTGCAGCCCACAGGGAAGCCCCCCGAACCTTCTTTTTCCTCTCACTGCCCCTGCTACAGCCACACGGGCCTCCTCGCTGCTCTTACAAAGCTCCAGGCCCCATCCAGCCCCAGGGCCTTTGAACAACTATGTCCTCTCCGTGGAGCACCCTTCCCCTAGATACCTGCCTGGCTCCTCCTGGATCTCACTGTGTCAAGCTTGTATTGCTCCCCCGCATCTAGAACAGTGCCTCCTGGCACACACTGGGCGCTTGAGAAATGTGTGGCTACACAGGACAACAGGGTGATCGTGGGTTTGAAACATGAGATCATGCGCAGGTGTGACCTGCCTCCCTGGGGCTCACGCAGGCACTCAACAAACACCAGCTTAGCATAGGCCAGGCAGTATCGGAGGCTCTGAGAGTAGCAGGGGGGCACTAGGAGTAAGACCGTGGCCCATTGGCTCCAGAGGTCTCAGAGACTGAAAGGGGCAGAGCCAGGCTCACATGCCGATCCACACTCTTTGTGCCAAGTGGGCGATTGGTGGGTGAACGCCTGTGCCAGCCCACCCCGGGACTGGGATGGCAGCTGCGTGCCAGGGGCAGGGCTGGGTGGCTCTGGGTTCTGCCTGGGAGGCGGGGGTCCAGCCGCTGGCCTGCTGGCCTGCTCGGGGCCTTCTCCTTGGACCCTCGCCGTGTTTGCCAAACAGGGAACAGAACAGGGGTGTTCCGCACTCCCTCATCTCAGCCAATGCAATGCATCCCGAGGATGCGAGGGCAACCGCCGCCTGGCCCCCTTTCCCACGGGGCCACAGCCCAGCGTGGCGGGAGAAAACCAGCAAAAGTAGAGTACCAACACTGACGGGCAATACCCCGGCCCGGCCCTTCAGACTTCACAGCCACTTCCCAGAGGCGAGGTGGTGCAGGGAGGGAACCTCACTTGCCCGCTCAGGCCTGGGGCTCTGTGCCTTCTCTGTTCCAGCCACACTGACCCCCACTCCCACAGGTCCCTCTGTGCCCCGTTGCCCGGCCTGGCCCTGCAGGACCTGGAGGCTTGCAGGAGGAGCCCGCTGGGGTGAGTCCAGGAGGGCTGCCTGCAGGAGGAGGCGCTGGGGATTGAGCTGGAGAGTAGGTGACCCAGGTCAGGCGAGGAGTGTGGGCTGGGTCTGGTGTCCATGGCACGGAGCCGAGTGTCTGTAGAGGGCTAGCGGAGGAGGCTGGGGGCTGGTGGTTGGTCTGAGGGCACTAGGGAGCAAAGGAGGTTCTACAGGAGGGGCAGCGAGGCACATCTACTTGGTGGGAAGTGATCAGGGCTCCCAGAGCTGCCCTCTGGACCAGTTCCCAGGACAGTGAGGGGCCGCTCTGACCTCACCGCACTGGATTGTGCTTTCCCAACATCCTGCCAGCCACAGGGGTCTGTGAGGCAGCTAAGAATGGGTCAGAGGACAGGAGGCCCTCAGGAGACCGGCCACGGCCCTTGCCCTGCCTCTGTTTCTCCATTCCTAGCCAGCTGGAGAACTGCAGCCAGACCAGTTGGTACATGTCTGGCGAGGCAGGCAGAGGAGGGGCCACCGGGTCTCCGTTCTCCCCTTTCTTCCCTGCTCCCAGCCATTTCTGAGAAATTCATTTATACTACAGTGAGAACAGCTTCTTGCTAGGTACATGCAAGGTTAAGCCATGCTCAACCCAGGCCAGCTGGTCAGGGCACAGATGCCTGTTTTCAGTCTTGAGCGCTGCCAGCGTTCCTGTGGCCGCACCCCTCTGAACCCCCCAGCGCCCCAGTTCTGAGCCCCGCTGGGAGAGAGGCTACGAGCCTTGGAGAACAGGACGTTTATTCTCAAGAGCAAGCATGGTAAGTGGGCCCAGCTGGCTGAGTGGTGCACGCGGGTGTCTTTGGGGGACCCTCAGTTGAGGATACCAGGTGTGGGGTTGTGTGGGGATGCACTGTTCAAAACTCCGAACAAGTCAGGTGCAGTGGCGCACCCCTGTAGTCCCAGCGCTCAAGAGGCTGGGGCAGGAAGATCGCTTTGAGTTCATTCCAGCCTAAGCCACATAGCAAGACCGTGTCTCAAAAATGAAACACACACACACACACACACACACACACACACACACACACACAGAGGCAAACCCCAAAAGTAATAATAATGGCAATAGAAAGCCCCAAACAGAAGCCACGGAGCAAAATGTGGATTTCTGGGTTTTTCTTGTCCCTGCCTCCTTCCAGTGCAGGGGATGGAACCCAGACAGGGCCTTAGGACTGACTTACATCCCCACCCCCAGCCCTTCTTTTTTTTTTTTGGTTTTTCTCCGGTATCGGGAACCGAACTCACGACCTTGCGCTTGCCAGGCAGGCGCTTTTGCCGCTGAGCTAAATCCCCAGCCCCTCTTCTTATTTTTAATTTCTTTTTTTTTTTTTTTTCCAGTACCGGGAATCGAACTCATGACCTTGCGCTTGCCAGGCAGGCCCTGTGCTGCTGAGCTAAATCCCCAGCCTCTTATTTTTAATTTCTACACAGGGTCTCCTTAAATCGCTGAATTGCCCAGGCTGGGCTCGAACTTTCCTCCTTTTTTTTTTTTTTTTTTTTTTTTTTTTTGCGACACAGGCTTGTTATGTAGCCCAGGCTGGCCTTGGACTCACAACCATCCTGCAGCTTCAGCCTCCCAGAATGCTGGGGTCACAGGCGTGTGCCTGGCCTTTCAGGTTGGGGTAGGACCACAGGGTTTGAAGAACCCTGCCCAGAGGTAAAAATGACTAGAGGGGCTTGTGGCCAGGCCCTCGCGATCCAGCGAAAAGTGGGAGGCCCCACCGGGACCCAGATGGCCGGGGATTCCAAATTGCGCCCCACCCCAGCTCTGATCCTAAATCAGGGCCAGGTCTCCGCCATGCGTGCTCACGAGTGGCCACCAGGGGGCGCATGATGCCCGGCCGCTCAGAAGTCCAGCTCCGGCAATAGCGTGTGCCTGACCCGGGCGCTGCGGGGCTCTGGCTCCTGGGCGCCGCTGTCCCCGGGGGGCCCCGCCGCGTCGCTGTGTGCGGCCTCCCAGGCCCTCTGCTGGGCCGGCCAGTCCATGTGCGCCCAGCGCGGGTCCGGAGCCCCCACCACCTCGTCCACCAGGGCCTCCAGGTCGGGCGGGGGCTCGGACCGCTCCACCAGGACGGGCGCGAAGGGGCCCACGAGCCAGGGCAGCGGCACGGCCTGCAGCACCAGCTCCAGCAGCTCGTCCACGCTCGCGTGCGCGCGAGCCACGCTGCCCCGGCCTTCGGCCAGCGCGGCGGCCGGGACGTCCCCGAAGCGGCGCGCGTCCGCGAAGGCGGCCTGTAGGGCGTCCACGCTGCGCCGCACCTCGGCCACCTTCTCCTGCGCGCCGGGGGGCAGGCCGCGTACGCCCGCCTCCAGCGCCTCCACCGCGCTCTGCAGCTCCAAGGTCAGCCTGCGCGACAGCACCAGCGTCTCCAGCTCCGCCTGCGGGGGTGGGGTAGGGGAGGGGAGCCTGTTTTCCCCAGGGGCACACGACAGAGCCCAGCCTGGCTTCATTTCCCCAGTGGACACAAACAGGGCTGGGGTTTGTTGTTGTTACTGGTTTTTTGAGACAGGGTCTAGCTATGTAGCCCAGGCTGACACTGAACTCGTGATCCTCCTGCCTCAGCTTCCCCGGTGTTGTTAGGATTACAGGTGGGCGCCACCACGCCCGGCTTTATTTTTGATTTTCTGAGACAAGGCAAACAGGGCTGTTGACCTGTCTTAGCTTGCCTCCTGGATATACACTGGACCCAGCTTTCTGGCTGGTTGAGTTCCCCCTATGAGCCCACAGCTCTGCCTCAGTTTCCCCACGAACACCCAACCACCTAACCTCAGCGCTTGGTTTGAGAAAACTTGAGTCTGGCCCTTGGCAGTCCCCGGTGGAGTCGGAACCACTCGCTGGTCCTCTCCTTGCTCAGCCTGTTACCACCTTACTTAGCCCTGCTGCCTTCTCACCGGGGCCCTTTAACGCTTCCCCATCCGCCATCTCACCTGCCCCTACCTGACTTCTCACCTCCTCCTCTTGCTGCCCCTCTACCCGCTTCCCCTTGCCCCGGCCCCTTCCTGGACCCGCCTTCAGCCTTCCTTGGCCGCACGTTTCCTCCCCTCCGTTGGCCCCACCTCCTCTCGTGGCTCCGCCCACCTCCCCTAACCTCTCCCTCCTCCCTGGTCTTGGCTCCTACCCGCCCCGCCTCTTCCCACCCCCTCCCCAGCACCACCCTCCTCTGGCCACGCCCCCACACGCCCTTCCAAGGCCGCCGCGTCTCGTGACCACGCCCCTCCTCCTTGGCCCCGCCCCCGCCGGCTCCTCCCCGCCCTCACCTGGCTATCCCGGCGGCGGCGCCCATTCTCCAGGGGACGCTGGTTCCAATCCTCCCACAGCTCGTGCACCTTCCCGAGCTGGGACCCGGAGGCCGGGCTCATTCCACTTTGTATGCGGTGGATCTGCGGGCGGGGACAGGGGTGGGAGTTAGGGCAGGAGGGTGGAGGGGCGGAGAGGGACCCAGCACCGAATCCGCCAAGAGGATTCAGTGAGCACCATTTGTATGCACCGCTGGGGATCCGGCCGGCCACGCTGCCTGTCCTCCCCCGGCCTTGCCCACGGCCGAAGACCCGGGGTTCCTCTCACCCTACCTCGCTGCAGGTGGTCCCCGCGGTCCCCTGGCCCTCGACCCTGTCTCCTCCAGCTCTGCAGGAAGCCCCTCCGCTGCTGGGGGCAGGGTCGACCCCGTCTAGGTCCTGATCCCCGGAACAGAACAGCCACTCACCTCCAGCGTCCAGGCCAAGGCCCACCCCGAGGACCCCACCTGAGACAGACGCATCCCAAGGGTGTGTTGCTACAACTAAAACTCATGCATGAAAACTTAAAGGTAGGGCTGGGGTGTGGGGCAAGGATAGGGAGCTTGCCTAGCAGGTGCAGAGACACGGGCTCCATCCCCAGCACCGCAAAAAGCAAACAGGAGAAAGAAGAAAACCCCAGGTGGTGGCAAATGCCTGTCATCCCAGCACTCTTGGAGGCTGAGGCAGGAGGATGCAAAGTTTGAGGTCATCCAGGGCAACTTAGCCACTTAATGAGACCTTGTTTCAAAATAAAAAATAAAAAGGGCTGAGGATGGAGCTCAGTGTGAAGGCCCTGGGTTCAGTCCTCAGTAAGCAAAAGAGAAGGAGGAATCAAAATTCAATGTCTTCTATCTATATAATAGAATATTACTCAGCCTTTAAAAGGAAGGAAATCCTGACACCTGATGCAGCATGGATAGACCTTGAGGACACTGTGGTCAGGGAAATGAGCCACATACAACAATTCACACAGAGACAGGGAGGAGGATGGTGATGCCCAGCTCAGGAGGGCACAGAGGCTCAGCTTGGGGAGGTGGGAGGTCCTGGAGGTGGACGGTGGGATACACTCGATGCTGCTAAGCTGGGTGCTTAAGAACAGGTAAGTGGCTGGGCGTGATGGTTCACGCTTGTAATCCCAGCACTAGGGAGGCTGAGGCAGGAGGATTGCTTCGAGTTCAAGGCCAACCTGAACTGCCGAGACCTTGTCTCAAAAAAAAAAAAAAAAAGGTTAAGCAGTAAACCCCGTGTTATGTACACTGACCGCACACAGGAAGGGGTGTTGGAAAACGCAGGCACCGTGCAAGAGCCTATTGCCCCATTATGGGCAAAGCAGGCAATGTCTTGCTGAACGCGCACTGAGCTCCGTTTCCTGGATGAGCGCCTAGCCCGTGCTGTGTGCCTGTGGCTGCGGGTAGGCCGGCGCCTTGATCAAGGCCCAGCGCGACATAGCTGTTCAATAAGTGTTGAGCAGGTGCGCTGGGGAGGGAGCCCAGCGGCAAGGCGCTGCAGAGCCCTGGGTTCAGTGCTGAGCACTGGCACGAAAAAGAAGCGCAGAGGCGGATCCAATAGAGAAAATGGAGAAGCTGATCATATGGTGCTCTGGAAACAGGGTGATAAGAAGGAAAAGAAAGCACGCCAGGTGGAAGGCACAGACATGCAAAGGCTGGGGGCAGGACGGAGCCCGGCGCAGCAGAGGTGGCCGTGTGGCTGGAGCAGGAGCAGGGGAGGCGGGGGGGGGGTGGGCGGGCCGCACAGGGACCTGTGGGTTGCAGGGAAGCTCTGAGCTGTGGGCCCAGGAAGAGTTGGGAGAGTTGGAGGGCTGAGGGCAGAGGAGGGCGGACCTGACTTGGTGCTCACGGGCGCCCTCTGGTGGCCACTTCCGGGAAGTCAGGCTGCGGGGAAAGGGACCGAGGGGTGGGGACAGATGCGTAAAAGGCAGGTGGTTCCTATCAACTCTGCCGGTAGAGCCCGCAGTAGGAGCTGATGAGATGAGCGGGTGGGAAGAGCACGGGCTGCGGCTCCTCCCAAATGAGGACCTGCGCCGGGAAGGACAGAGCTGTGCTTAGCAGACAATCCTCACCAGCTCCAGGGTCTCCTGCAGCTGGGCTAACGTGTCCTGGGTGCGGTGTTTGCTCTGCCTCAGTTTCCCCAGAGAGTGCTCATAGGCCAGGTGGCGGATCCGTGCGGACAGGGAGCCCAGGCGCACAAAGTAGCCCTGCTGTCTTCTCTGCTCCTCCACTGATCCCACTTCTGGGCCCTCGGCCTCCGCCGCCAGCGCCGCTGAAGGTTGGGACAGGAGCTGGAGGTCAGCGTGGCCACCTCCTCCACACCTGGTCACCCACCCTCGGGGTGGACAACCCCACAGGCTCCAAAAGGTTGGCTTCCCTTTATCAATACCGACCCTTTTCATCTTGTCCAAACCCAGGAGGGTAGGCACTATTTAAGCCCCATTTTACAGATGAGGGAAACTGAGGCAGGGTATGGCTACCCCACAGTGTGCACGAGGCAGATCAGGATTGAAGCCCAGGCACACCAGCTCCAGACTGTGCTCAACCATTCTATTAAATGGACTCTTTTTTTTGTCTTTTTGAGATAGGGTCTCGCTATGCAGTTCAGACTGGCCTTGAGCTCACTTTGTAGTCCAGGCTGGTCTCAAACTCGCAAAGATCCTCCTGCCTCAGCCTCCCGAGTGCTGGGATTACAGGTGTGCGCCACTACGCCTGATGCTATTAAATAGACTTTTAAAGACTATGTCACAATCCAGGTTCGGTGGCACATGCCTGTAAATCCTAGCACTCAGGAGGCTGAGGCAAGAGGATCACCATGAGTTTGAGGCCAGCCTGGGCTGCATGGTGAATTCAAGGCCAGCCAGGACTATATAAGAGACCCTGTCTCAAAAACAAAACCAAACAACCACAAAAGTCATAGCAGACAGGATGTAAAATACTGGGGAGTGCTGGGGTTTGGAGGACTGGCTAAAAAGACAGGCACTATTTAGCCTGTGTCTCATTTTCCTACTTTTCAAGACCAACCAGAAACCAGGATTTTTAGTACAAATGCATAAAATAAATTGACACATTTGAAAGAGACTGCACAGGCTGAGGTTGGAGTTCTGTTTCCCGCTGATGTGCTGAGCAGTCTGGGGTCAATCTAGACCTGTCTGATCTGTACCCCACTGAGATGGTCCCTGGACCGGAAGCGGCAGGGGCCTCACCGAGCTCCGCCTCCGTCATGGGCAGGAAGTGGTCCACCAGCTCCTCGGACTTGCCCAGCACCATGTCCACGGCGTGGCTCACGGAGCGCTTCAGCTCCACACTCCAGCGCCGGCTCCGCCGGGCCAGGTCCACCACACCGGTGACCCCACTGGCCACCGCGTCCTTGGCCGAGGTCACCATCTGGCAGGAGGAGACCTTGCTCCAGGCACCACAGTCTCTGGCTCTATCCCCTGACCCCTGCTCCCTGGGGCTGGGTCTCCAAGTCCTCTGGGCCTTTTCCTGGCTCCGTGCCTCAGTTTCCCTTTATAGAGTGGGGAATAAAATGCACCCCCACAGGGCTTGCAGCAGGCAGCAGCAGCACCTACTGGCACAGGGTGTGTCGGCGCGTTATTTTACATGGCTGGACTTTCAGGTCCCCCTTCAGGACTAGTTAGATCAACCCTCCCTCTCGCCTCAACTCTGGCCCAACCGCTCAGGTCCCCGTGCGTGGTCTGGCCACCCGGGTACCGTATCCGAAGGCTGCTGGAGAAAGGGCAGCTTCTCTTCCAGCTTGTCCAGGCCCTTGCAGGCGAGATCATTCACTGTCGCCACTGAAGAGAGAGGGAGGAAACAGGGACCCATGGAGAGATGTAGAGGGAGGGAGCACTCGAGAAGCAGACACACAGAGGGAGGAAGGTAGAGGGAGGGGCACAGGAAGAGACAACCGGAAGGGAAGGCATGGAAGGCTCCAAACCAGGAGGTGGCTGGTGGTCCACAGAGGTGGCAGGTCTCCAGAGCTCCAGAGCAGCCACAGATCCCAGGCCGAACACCAGGACTCTGGGAGAGGGGGTGGACGGAGGAGGCCAGGCCACAGGGGGACAGGGTGGGGTGGCTCACGGCAAGCGGCCAAGTCCTGGGAGGGACTGGGGACCCTGAACAGGCCACCCCTGGCTCCTCGACCCTTCTGCTGGGCCCCAAGGTGACTCCACAGCCCTAGTGGCAGCTCAAGGTCATGGGAGCCCCTGTGAACAAGCTGGGACCCAAGGTGACCTCTTTCCCTGTCACATGACGGGGAGTGAGGGGCCTTTCTGTCCTCCAGAGTGGACCCCTCAGCTGGTGGGATGCGGGAGGCGGTGCCAGGGCTGAGGCGGCAGGGCTCAGGGAGGTGGAAGAGAATAGGAGGGGACCACAGGCCACAAGTGTGGGGAGGGGTCAGGCCAATAGCCTGGTGTGGTGGCGCACTCCTGTCAGCCCAGCGTTCTGGGAAGCTGAGGCAGAAAGATGGGAAGTTCAGGAGCAGCCTGGGCAACTGAAGTGACTTAGTGAGACCCTGTCTCAAAATAAAAAAGCAAGAACTGGGTGTGGTGGCGCACACCCGTAATCCCAGCACTCGGGAGGCTGAGGCAGGAGGATCGTTGTGAGTTTGAGACCAGCCTAGGCTACAAAGTGAGCTCAAGCCAGCCTGACCTGCACAGTGAGACCCTGTCTCAAAAAGACCAAAAAAATAAATAATAAAAAAAAGCCAGGCATGGAGGTGCACACCTGTAATCCCAGCACTCAGGAGGCTGAAGCAGGAGGATTGCTGAAAGTTCGAGGTCAGCCTGGGTTACACGGTGAGTCCAGGCCAGCCTGAACCAGAGAGAGATACTGTTGCCAAATAAAGGGGGAGCTGGGGTGGAGCTCAGTGCAAAGGCCCTGGGTTCTGTCCCCAGTGCCACAATAAACAAAGGGAAGGGGCAGAGGGCAGTGGCAGGGGAAGAACTGGGGCAAGGCAGGCAGAGAAGGGGGAGATGGATGGCAAGTGGCACGTTACAGGCCCGGGGGACGGCGGACAGCTGAAGAGGGACAGGCGCCCCAGGACAACCGCAGGGCGTGTCATGCAGCTGGGCCGCGTGGGGACTCACACTGGGGCTGCAGGTGCTCCAGCAGCGGCTGGGCGTGGTCCAGGGCGCATGTGGTCAGGCTGCACACACAGTGCTCCGCCAGGCGGCACGCGGAGCCCAGCAGTGGGTGCCTGTCCTTGGTGGCATTGTAAGCGTTGGAGACGCTGGCACAGGTGGCCCGGACGAGGGGCAAGGCCACCACGCGCTGCACCACATTCTGCGGGAAGGGGTGGCACCAGAGGGACCCCGAGGTCATGGGGGGGCTGAGGCACACGTTAGGCCTCTCTGAGTCCAGGTGTAGGGGTGCACACCTGTCATCCCGGCACTCAGGAGGCTGAGACAGGAGGATCACCACAAACTTAAGGCCAACCTGGACTACATAGTGAGACCTTGTCTCAAAAAACAAAAAAAGCGCCGAGAATGCCATGGTCACTATTGCTGTGGTCAGTGAGGGCGACAGTGGACAGAGTGGCAGGCAGGGACTCAGGCGGGCAGAAGAGGGCTGGGTGTTTCAAGCCCCAGAACCCGGTTCTCCCAGCAAGGATCGGGAGAGGACACCTGGCCTGAGACTGTCTCAGAACAGCGGCGCCCCGCCCTCCCGGTGCCCCTGTGGGGAGGGGCACCCCACCTGTGGGCTGTGCTCCTCCAAGCTGGGCCTGGGGTCCTCAGTGTCCTCCTTGTCGGACATGCTGGCTGCACACAGGGTCACCCTGGGGGAGGGCAGGGCAGAGTGAGGGTCCTGCCCGGGCTCTGTGCCAGTCTCACCCCCCATCTGTGAAGCGGGCATCGTGCAGCGCCCGGACAATGCCCGGTGCGCGGCTGCTGTGCGGCTTTGGGTGAGCGCCTTCCCCTCTCTGGGCGGTTTCCCCTGCTGTACACCGGGGCGGGTCCCTGCTGCCGGTGCTAGGGGCGGACCTGCACAAGCACCCCTCGCGCAAGGCGGGAGGCGATAGCTGCAGAGTCCGGACCAGCCCCACGGTTCATCTGACAGACAGGGCAACTGAGGCGCACCGCAGGCCCGCGCTGCCTCGCGGCAGGGAGCTCGGCGTCTACATATTTGCTGCCTGCTCCTCCTCTATGCCACCCGGTGCCCTCGGCGCGCTGGTGCCCTCCCAACTGGGTCTTGAGCCTGCGCCAACTGGGCCAAGGGTCTCGGCCACCTGCTCCGGCCCGTCGCACCCCTCCCTCGCCACGGGCCCCTCGCCCAACACAGGACTCGGGGTCTCCGAACCTGCAGGAGGCTCCTGGACGCCGTCCGCGCCGCGCTCACCTGGGCTAGCGGAGCCTCTGACCCCCGGGTCCCAGTGCAGACCCCGGGCTCTGAAGTCTCCGCCCAGTGCGCGCTCTGCCCGCCTTATAGAGGCTCGGGGGCAGGGGTATTGGGGAACAGACCAATGAGGATGGCCCACTCGGGGGCGTGTCCAAGGGGCGGGGCCCAGGCGTCCCTCCTCTCCTTGGGTTCCCCCAGGGCACTGCCGTTGTCTGGCAATCCAGGCACGCCGGTGCCCATGGATTGAGCTGCTTTTGGCCAGGTACGGTCACCTGTCACCTTCTGCTGTTTCCATGGTGACACGGGAGGGTGATCCAGCCCCCACTGCCCGGCTGAACGACTTTGGGCAAGTCTCCAAAGATTGTCTTCTTTTTTTAATTTATCATTTAAGCAGGGAGCCAGTCCAGTCCATTCCCTCGGACCCTCCCCCAACCTTTTTGTAACTGGAGATTGATCCCAGGGCCTTTGCACTGAGCTACACCCCCAACTCTTTCTTTTTTTCTTTTTTCTTTTCTTTTTTTTTTTGAGATAGGGTCTCGATAAATGGCTAAGGCTTGAATTGGCAATCCTCCTGCCTCAGCCTCCCAGGGTCCTGACATTATAGGCATGTGCTACCATCGCTGGCCTTTAGACTCCTATTATACAGATGAGCAAACTGAGGCCCCAAAGCTTAAACCACTTGCCCTGAGTCCATAGAGAGGAAAGATCTGATTGAAATCCACCTCTTCAATTCCAGGCTCCCCCCTTCCACCCACGAATGACCCTCCATCTAGGGGGCTGAAAAACATAATTTTGTAGGGACCCCCATGATGCCCCCAGCCCCACATGCCTGACTGTGTGTTGGCAGGGGCCCCCTAGGATCTGAGTTGCAACAACAGCCCCCTGGGTCCCTGCCATGCCCTCTGCCCCATCCAGCCCCAGCCTTGCCCTGGGCAGGTGTCCCTCTGATGTCCTAGGCCGGCATGACACACCCGAGACCCGAGCGATCTGGGACACAAGCTCTGGCCAAAATCCACCTGTAAAGTGACACCCCGGCAAATGGTGAGGGTTTTTATTTCCAACTGAATCTCAGGGTGGGGGAGGGAGAGAAGCCAGAGGCCAACCGAGTTCGAGTCCACGAGTGACCCCGCCCGGCGCCCCAGCCCCAGGCCTGCCTCATGCTTTTCCCTTTCCGTCCTGGGGAAACCAGGATGTCTATCGGGGAGATGCAGGAAACACCGAGTGTGATTCATCCCATTCTATTCAACAGTTATTTAGTAACACGCTGGGGGATTCTGGCTCCGGGGGTGGGGGCCCCCAAGAGCCCGCCAGACTGGGGAAGATGAGCCTGACGGAGATGACTCTGGTGTGGCTGGGGCTTGGCCAGAGAGCGGGACAGGGGGCCTGGGGGAGCCCAGAAATCAAGCGATCCTGGAAATGGGGGACAGCATTCCTGGTCGAAGGTGCAGCGTGAGCAAAGGCAAGAAAGGCGGGGAGCACAGCGTGGGTTGGGGGAGTGTGGCCGGAACGGGTCCTGGCAGCTCTGGGATCCTGGCATCTCGCCCATGCAGAGCGGCTGCTGTGTTCTCCCGGCCCGGCCAGCCCAGCGCCTCACCAGGACGCTGCCACCTCCAGGAGCGCCTGGCCCTTCAGGGCCTCGGGGGCCGCGCAGCGGATAGTGTTCTGGGAGAACATCGCACGCCTGTTGGCTCTCAGCCAGTGATAGAGGTTGTCCAGGTTCTGGTCGCAGACCCAAGGGCTGCCAGAGAGGTCAAAGCCGTCCCGCATGTCCCGGGCAGGCTTTCCCAGGGATGCCCAGAGCCCTCTGGGCACGGTGCTCAGCAGGTTATCGGAGAGGTCCAGCATGTCCAGCTGCGTCAGGCCTTGGAAGGCGCCGGCTGCCACCGTGGTCAGCCTGTTGTTGAGAAAAAGGTAGCGCAGGCTGGGCTGGGGCGAGAGCAGGTCCTCTCGGAACGCCCGTGGTCGGTTCCCCTGTAGGTGCAGCCGTTCCAGGTGCAGCGGGCCCCGCAGGAGGCCAGGCGGCAGGGCCTCCAGCTGGTTGTCCCCGAGGTCAAGGGTGCGCAGGCCAGTGAGGTTGGCCAGCAGCCCGGGGCTCAGCGTCCAGAGGCGGTTCCAGGACAGGTCCAGGAAGCCCAGGGCCTTCAGGCCTTGCAGCCATGAGGCCTGCACGACCTCCAGCCTGTTTTCCTTCAGCACCAGCGTGTGCAGGGCGGCGGCACCCCAGAAGAGGCCCGGGGGCAGCTGGGTGAGGGCGTTGCGGGTGAGATCCAGCACCTGTAGGCCAGGCGCGGGCACCAGGAGCTTGGCTGGCAGCTCTTCCAGTTGGTTGCTGGAGAGATGCAGCTCGCAGAGGTGGGGGGCGCCCTGCAGGGCGTCGGCCGGCAGCTTGGTCAGGTTGGAGAACTCCACCGTCAGGTGCGTGGTGTCGCTGGGGAGGGGGCTGGGGAATGTGGAGGGCGAGTAGCAGGCCACGGAGCTGCTGTTGACAGACTGGTACGTCAGGCACTCTCTGGAGCTTGGGAAGCCCCCCTGGGCCGAGGCCGCGGACAGCACTAGCAGGAAGAGGGCTCTCAAAGGACGAGGGTTGAGGCCCGCTGGTCTGCAAGCGGTGAGAAGTGTATAATGAACCACAGTGAAAATATAGCCAGAGCCTGCCCCTTCCTTCCCGTTCCCATGGCCGCCACTCCTCGTCGTCTGGACCAGTGCAGTGTGGTCACTTCCTCTTCCTCTCCAGCCTTCTACCCACCCTTGTAGCTGCCAAAAGGGGCTATTTTTCCTGGAATAATTCTATGACTCTTGAATTTCTGAGTCCAATCCCTACATACTACCCTTCCCCATTGCCATACCAGCCATAATGGGCTGTTAACGATACCCAGTTCAAATTGTTAGTTGTGATTTGGTTTGTTTTCAGGGTCAACCCTTCTCTCCCTAGTTCTGTATTTTAATGGAACAGCCAGCAAACTCCTATTCATCCTGCAAATCTCCAGCTCTAATGCCCTCTTTTCCATGAAGCTTTTTTTCTTTTCTTCCCAACAAAGAAGGAGTTCCTGTTCTAGGCTTCTCTTCTTTTTTTTTTTTGGGCTTTTCTCCGGTACTGGGAACCGAACTCACGACCTTGCGCTTGCCAGGCAGGCGCTTTGCCGCTGAGCTAAATCCCCAGCCCCTCTAGGCTTCTCTTCTATCCTTAGTGCTGCAGAGCCCTCAGGTTAAACACAGGGCTCCAGCTCCAAAGAGAGGACCATGAACATGAAAGTGTGTGTTGTTTTGGGCAGACCTGGGATGGATATTTGGTTTTTTTTTTGGTCTTCTTGAGACAGGGTCTCGCTATGCAGTTCAGGCTGGCCTTGAGCTCACTTTGTAGCCCAAGCTGGTCTCAAACTTGCAACGATCCTCCTGCCTCATTCTCCCAAGTGCTGGGATTACAGGTGTGTGCCACCACGCCTGGCTGGACATTTGGTCTTGAGAGGGGTGGCTTACAGTTGGTATCATAATCCTGGGACCTCTGATAGGGTGTCCTCTCATTCCCTGCCTGGCCCATGGCCCACCTGGATTTATGCAGGTGTGCGTATGTGTACGAGACCCTGTCTGTCTGTCACAGCCTGCTGGGCTCTGTCTGTCCCCTGTGACTTCAGTGGGTTGGAGAGAATGGGCACATGCCCAGGATGGATGGGGCGGGGACCTACCTCTGCTGTCGCTCTCTGCTCCGAGGCGACATGGTGGCTCTTCCCTTCCTCCTCTGAGGTGCCTGGGGCGGGGGGCAGGTGGTCTTATACCTGCTCGGCCCGGGGGCGGGCTCCAGCCGGGAGGAAGCGCTGTGCCACCTTCCCTGTTCCTCGCAGGTCCCAGCCCAGCAGGGCAGCAGGGGGTGGGGCAGGGTTGCACAAGCGCTTCCTGGCGACACTGCCCGCCCCTTCTCGGCCTGTGAAGCCCAATATTTCATTTTTCTGCCCTTGCTTTCTGATTCTGGGGGGCACCCGAGAGTCTGGAGCTGAGTCCGCTCTTCCCTGGGTCAGAATTCAAGGGTCGGAGCGATGGCGGATGGGGACAGCACTTTGAGCAAGAGATATTACTTACGGGAACAACCAGGAAGTTCACTGAAATCAACAACAATCACAACCCCCACCAAAAAGAAATCCCTTTGTTCCGAACGCCTGGCATGTTCTGTGTTTTCCTTTTTTTTTTCAATTGCAGAGGTTTTTTAAAAACTAAAGCTCACGGTGCATAAAGCCCAGAGTCACCATGGCCTCTGGACTGTGGCCTCTGGACTGTCACCCAGCTGCATTGCTGTGTGAACTTAGGCAAACGGCATAACTTTTCTCAAACTGTTTCCCCACCCGTGAAGCTAAACTCAGTCTCCAAGGGTCCCTTCTGTTATTTCTTTCTTCCCTCAAAGAGGTACTGAGGTAAGATCCCAGGGCCTTTGCACAAACATACATCCCCAGCCTTTTTTTAGTTTCTCTTTTGAGACAGGATCTCAGTAAGTCACTAAATTGCCCAGGTTGGGTGTGAACTTGTGATCCTCCTGCCTCAGCCTTCAAGAATACTGGGATGAATCAACCTAGGAATGGATAAAAAAGATGTAGTCTTTTTATGTAATGGAGTACTACTAAGCCATGAAGAAGGATAAACTGGTGACTTTTATAGGTAAATGGATGTAGCTTGAATTCAAACTTGTAAGTGAAATAAACCAGACACAAACGTGTAAACATCATATTGTCTCCTCTGTGAGAAGCTGAAAGAGTAAATGTGATCCAAAATGTACAACAGTTACTGTAAAATAGGAGGAAACTTCACATGGAAGGAGAAACTGGTTTAGGGGAATGGGGAAAAGGAAGGGAAAGCAAAAGGGAAAAAATACGTATGTATACATAAAAATAGTTAAGATAGGTATGCTGCTAATTTCTCTCAGTTCACTGAAAAGATGGGTTTGTGCTAATACTGTCTGGACAATTAAATGCTGTTATCTTGTACTCTGAGTAACTAATTTAAAGATAACAGTGTGGCCAGGAGAGGTGGCATGCGCCTGTAATCCCAGCACTCAGGAGGCTGAGGCAGGAGGATTGTTGTGAGTTTAAGGCCAGCCTGGGCTACAAAGTGAGCTCAAGGCCAGCCTGAACTACATAGCAAGACCCTGTCTCAAAAAGACAAAAGCAAAAACAAAACAACAATGTGTAATGTGTTGACCATTGTTATCTTCCTATCATATGGTTTTGGAATTTTGTTTTTATATTTATGTGTTTTTTATTTCTTCATTTCTTATTCTTTAAAATAGAAAAAAAAATCCTGGGATGGAACAGGGCATGGTAGTACACGCTTGTAATCCCAGCACTTGGGAGGCTGAGGCATAAGATCTCTATGAGTTTGAGGTCAGGCTGGACTATTGAGTTCAAGGCTAGCCTGTCCCAGAAAAGCAAGACCTTATCTCAAAAAACAAAGACAAAAAAAAAAAAAAAAAAA